GGCAACACAATGTCATTTTGCTCCATGATAATGCCCCATCACATACAGCAAAACGGGTCAAGGAAACGATCGAGTCGTTCAGTTGGGAATTACTACCGCATGCGGCTTATTCTCCAGACTTGGCTCCGTCCGATTATCACCTGTTCGCATCGCTAGGACACGCTCTCGCTAACCAACGCTTCGATTCGTATGAAAATGTGGAAAAATGGCTAGATAACTGGTTCGCTTCAAAAGATGAAAAGTTTTTTTGGCACGGCATTCATAAACTGCCAGAGAGGTGGGAAAAATGTGTTCAAAACAGTGGAAATTATTTTGAATAAAGTATTATTTATCACTTTCGAACAACAGACGTCTTATTTGTATAAAAGAATTCCGGTTTCATACTTCTACACCTGGTATTTAGATTAGACAGAAAAGGGCGAAACGATACGTCAAGAGATACGATACGCGAGATACTTTATTTAAGACAGGGAAATATCTGCATAAAAATAGAACATTTGATTCTCAATTCTGATTAAATATCGATTTCCATGCGTCGTATAGTCCGATTTACAATATAATCTTTGCTTCCCATCTCTTGTTCTCTCTCTCTCTCTCTCTCTCTCTTTGGTTGAAAGTTTAGCCCAGATCTACAATGTGCTCTTTGCTTTTCGTTTTTTTCCCTTTATTTGTTTCTGATTCAAACCTTAAGCCAAAAAGAGATAGAGAATAAGAAACGGGAAGCAAAGAGCACATTGTAAACCTACGCTGAAGGCACGCAGCTAGATAATAAGATTTCTAACCTTATTTGATGAGATGCGTGTGGCTTGGCGATCCATCCTCAGATGAAAGCGGACCGTATCAGACACTTGAACAAATTCTTCTAAATACCGGATCTATCTATTCCCTGTATAGAGTTCGATAACTATCGTTATTCTTTGTCGTCTATCGTTATACTTATTTGCTTTCGGACTCCGATATTTCGCATACCAACATGATTGCCATGATGAATTGGCGCTACTTTTAACATCGCGCGAATGTTTGCCAGACGAGAACGATTTACACGCAACAAACATGATTGACGAAGTGTATCTTATAAGTAGCTTGCGAATATGCTCTCGTATAAGATTAGCGATGCGTATAAATAATAAGAGTGCATATTATCACGTTTCCTTGAAATTAATATTCGGAACGAATCTTCCTCCCCCCTCTCTCTCACTAGTGTTTTATAGAATTTCGTTATACTCTACGCACACACATAGAAATATATATATATATATATATACCTCGTAAATTATATATATATTATTTATTAAAAGCGCACCATATAAATTATACTCCTGTACGTAAGCAATGTTTGTCTCTTCGCTAATTAATAAAGTGCAAAGATATCACGCAAGCATTTCTATGTGAATGTTATTGTGATAGTGTTTTAAGTCTATTTGCCTGAGAGTCATTACTAAAAGATAATGTTTTCGTTTTCTAGACAAATTAATCTTTTACGACTAATGTAGATATATAAGAAAAATGATATATTCTCACGTAGCCTCGATTTATCGAGAAAGTCGAGGAGAGCTCCTTATAGAATTAAGACAAAATGGTCGATTAAAGCGGGTAAAATCCAGTTAATAACCTACCTGACGCCATCTATCGTTCTTCTAGTAGAACTATTACGTTGTCTAACAATTTGGCGTCACCTAACGGAAAAGAGTCTAACTAGCAGCACTACGTGATCGATCAACAGTGTGTGCGATTTGTTTGATTAAAGTCAGCATATTAAATAAACTATTACATAAATTATGCCGAAAGTTGTATCAAGGAGCATTATATGCTCTGATACAAAAGATCAGGAAGAATACAGCGAGGAAAAGCCATTGCATATATATTATTGTCTATGTGGACAGATGACACTCATTTTAGGTTAGTATTGTTTATACATTTAGAAAATATAAAATGCATAAAATACAATTATATGTATTTAATATCGCTTTTGCTGTTAGAGAACAACGAAATAGTTGCATGTTTATAAATTTTATAAATCTTGTAGATTGTGCTATTGAGAAATTACCACTACGAAAGAAGGATGGTGCAAGAGTTATCGATGGCAGTAAACATGCCCATAAAATGACTTCAGAACGAGATGAACTTGTATTTCTTAAGCGTCCAGAGGGGATCGAGAAACAATATAGACAGAAGTGTAAAAAGTACGAATTTATTTTTATTAGTATATTGTACTTTAAATAGTATATATACTTATAGTCTTTCTTAATTATCTCAATCATCTGTGGAATAAATATCTAATAGTTTTATATCCTGACAGATGTGGTCTATTACTGTACTACAAGCACGATCCAGCAGCAAATATAGTATTTATAGTTAAAGGTTCAGTGATAAAAAGTTCTGGAGAAGGTCCTATGACAGATATTTATAATCAAGTAGCCATTGAAAAACCTAAAAAGATAATGGTCACAAAACATACTAAGAATATGGGAAAGTTCAGTTCAGTCACTGTATCTACAATTGATGAGGAAGAGGATGAAATTGAAGCTGTAAGTTGACTATATAATATTATATATAACAAGCAAAACAAAATTTATATACAGTATTTTTTTAATTAATAATTTATTTTTTATAAGTAGAATAATATCTTCTAATTATTATATTTTATTTGGACTTGGGTAATTTTACATGTATCTGTTATCTTATTTTTTCAATAATTTTTATGTTTGTAACTAATTTCAGAGAGAAGTTGCTGATTCATATGCAAACAATGCACGCATCATAGAGAAACAATTGGAGAGGAAAGGTATGAATAAGCGGAAAACTATGCCATCCTCTGAAACAGATTCAAAACGTGCAAGACCAAGAGGGACATTATTAGATGTTTGATTTTCTGTTCATTTTCTTTTATAATTATGTGTATTAACTTACTATAAATTTAACTTGTAATGTAAATAAATTATTTTTTATATATATATAATATGAAATCATTCTCTCATGTATATATTAAATTCATAATGAATATATTTTATTTAAAGTAACTAAATATTTTGTTGAGAAGTAAATGGTAAATTTGAAATCACACAAACATTTAACATTATATTGATATATTTGTTAACATTACACAAAAGTAAATATTTAAAATATATATATAAATGACTAGATATAAATATTGCATAGAAATGTACATTGCAAAATAGAGATAGAAATTTAATAAATAAATACATCGGTTACGTGTATACACAATTCATTGATAAACGACTGCAAGCGACAAAAATTGCAGTTTTCCTACTTACGTTCAGAATTAGTTCATAAAATGGCAACATCAATTAATAATAACTGAACAGCATCTAATGAAATTGATATCGGATTATTATAATTCGGAGTGATATGGCGTATATATGTGATACAAAGGAAGAACTGTCTAAACAAATCGCGTAATTGGTCATCTTTTTTTTTATCTATAAACTACGAGATGCTGCATGTGCAGTACTACAAGACATTAATGCATATATGTAGTCAAAGATCTTTTTGTTTAAGCACATATCCGTCCATAATCAAAGATCGTACTTTTTCACATATATTCTAATTGTGCAGTATACAGAGTAATCCAAGAAAAGTACAACTTGATTCCTCATACACGCAAATCTTTGTTCTTGTCTAAACTGTTCCTTGAGAATTTTTTGTAGAATTACTATGCAGTATCGCCATATAACTTCATATTTTCATACCAATTAATTTATTAATCCTTTACTGCGCTTGTTTTTATTTTGTGCACAGTTGGAATAAAATAGATATTTAATATAGATTTTGAGAATTTCATGATCCAACTGTCTGTGTGTACGTAAAAATACAAAAATTAAATAAACAATCATTTGATTCAAAAATAGTACAATGCAAAAACCAGTAAAATTATATTTAAAAAAACGTTCCAAAGTAAGAGACTCCTAAAAAGATTAAATTAAAAAATTTTAATTTCTTGAAAACAAATAATGAATTTTTTCGATCTTTTAACGATCGAGTGCGGATTATATACAAAGAACAAAGACTTGATAGTAACGTACATTCTTTTCGAAAATAATCTCTATATTTGATTATTCATCGATGAAATTTTATGACTTGCATTATTATATCATTAAATGAGTAGGAAGTATGAAAAATTTGTTTACTCAAAAGTTGTTAAGACTGTTCTATCATTTGAATTGCCGTTTTTAGCGTCACGAAAGATAATCATAGCACATTTCCTAATTAACTAGTAAATGCAGCTCGACCATATTTCTTTAACGATAATCCCACAAGCATCTTTAAATTAGAATTACATTTCTATCTTACATGTAATACGATTCCCCAATTGGAATTATCACGTTCGCAGTTACTAGCGACAGTCCTCCATCACACAATCAGCATTCATTAAGTATATATAAAAAAGAAACTTAATGCATATTGTCGACGTATGTTAAATTCATTAAACATGTAGTAAATGAGAATATATTAAACCACGGGAATGCAAAAATACAAAAGTTACCAAACACTGATGGCGAAAGATTGTTAACATACAGGTAATCATGTACAAACTTTTGTAATAAAAAACAAATTATACATTGAAGTTATATATATAAACATAATATACGATGCAAGAAAATTTCTCTTAATACCTTACAAAGTTTAATATAATAACTTCATGTTAGTGAAATCATCTAATTGATAATATATTTAATCCAATTTCTCATAAACAACAGATTTTTGTTATGGTATGCGATACTTTCCAGTACGAGGATAGATAGTAGAAATATCCCGTCAACAATGTGCATCCAATCCCAATTCAATTATTCAGCTGTTAATAGCATTAAGTATTAATTTGCGATGACTTAATGTCTACCTTCTTAAGTATCGTAGGTTCATCTTTGAGAAATGTACCTGATCTCGAACCTACTGTAGGTTGCTTCTGCGTCTCTCCATTATGGCATTTTTTCATCTTGTCATCGATCTTACCGTTAACGGTTCTCTTACTGGCAACCGTTGATTTGTTTGTCTTATTGGCAACGCTGGACTTTGGAGAAGATTTCTTGCTGGGACTATCAGAACTCTGTGAATTCTGCGTCTCCTTTCTCTCTCTTCTCGTATTAGGAAGAACGTTCGACTGCGCGATCTGCCGCGCCCTAAAAGGCGTCATCGTGTTAATTGGTTTGCTAGGAACGTCTGGCGTCCTCGCAGCATCTAGCAAGCTCCTCCGCAAACTCGGTGAACCGTGATATGCGTTGACAGCGGCGGCTCTACTACGACTGGCAGCAGTAGAACTTTCCAGCGATCTCGGTGTCCTTTTGGTAATTGTTAATGGACTTCTTTGCTGCGTTGGTGGCGAATTTTTCTTCGTCCTATCATTTGCAAATCAACAAGTAAAATTAACAAGACTAATATAAGTCTGCGCTCAGTCTTTATCATCCTGCGTGCGAGAAGTGATAAGTACAAATCCTATATCTTCTATCTTACCTATCGTAAGCCTGCGTCTTGCCCGCGATTTTCGTCAACGTAGGTGATAGTTTATTAGACACATTGGACTTTGGAGTCGCCGTTATTTCTGTCATAAGACTATCGGTGGACATAGATGTGTCCATTTTGCTAACCTTCTTCTTAGTGGTTATCGGCTTACTTTTAGTCTCCAAAGAATCCACCGATAAACCTATATCGGTGCCTTTCTGTTTGAAAGAAGGGGACTCGGGTCTCGTGATGCCGCAACTCTTACTGATCAAGTCTCTCTTATTACTGGTTCGACTCGCATTTGCTTCCGTTAAACTATCCGACGAAAGGGCCTTTACGTCTTTCTTCACCGGTAACTTTATTTTAGCCAGTGGTTTTTTGTCGGATGCACGTTTCATCGCTGGACTGGAAGTGCGCGATGAGTCCGATGACGAGATCATAATCTTACGTCGTTGTTGCACATTGATCTTATCGTGATGCGTCGTTGGTGCACTCTCTTTCGGAACTGATTTGTTTCTCGGTTCCAAATATCTGGATTTTACCTGTAATTGTTTACACTAATCTCAAAAGTTTTATCATGGTAAAAATTATCTCAAAACGATATCTAATACACTACCGTCCAGAAGTTTGGAAGCAGTCATATTTTTATATGAAATAAAAGATCGTTTGTAAATATTATGAAAGTAACTAGTTATAATGAATGTTTATTGACATTGACGACTACTATCTACTTTAGGTTAGAACTCCAACTTTCTGTGCCTATAATTACATTATATTAAATAAAAAAATTCAGTTAAATCAACCGACTAATAATTTTAACGTGCACTGAACTCAGAAATTATAACTTGCGTCTATGAATGCTTGAATGCAACTATTAAGATCCTATTTAATTAGAATACAATAGTTAGATATCGGAATTGAGGGTAAACATCATATTTCTGTGATTCGATCGTGACTAAAACAAAGTGTTCAACCGCAATAGATAATAGATAATAGCAAGAATTTATTAGACATAGGCACAAAGAGTTGATGTTCTGACTTAAAATAGTCGCCAATGTCAATAAACATTCATTATAACCGGTTGGTTTCATAATATTTACAAACGATCTTTTATTTCACACAAACTTCTGGACGTAGTGTATATTTTAAGTATGTATTTTAAAAATTGCAAAACTTACCTCCATCTTGTTGGGCCAAGATTTTGGTCTAATGGTTTCGTTGGTAATTTGCTTATCCTCTTGCATTTTACGTTCAAGTGGATCAGTTTTTGGTTTACATAGGACCTTCTTTATTTGTTTGTTAGCCGGTGGTGGTGGTGGTGGTGTTTGCTTTATAGTTTTGTCATTGTGCTCTGAGATTGCCATTTTGAAGCGTTTTAAATCTAAACTGCGACTTATCGTCGAGCGACTAGGCGGTGCACGAGATTCCTTTGAATGTAGAAAAACAAACATAATATAATTTTATTAGAGAAAAATTTTGCGGATAAGCAAAAAAGCATTGAAGATTTAAGCAATTTCAGTAAATTTACATTGATTTTCAACTCCACATATATTAAAAAAGAAAAATAATACTTCTTAAAGAATATAACACTTGCTTTCGAGAAATTCAAAGGTTTAGATTGGCGTTTCGAAGTCTCATTGGGCAAGATCACGATACAGGCCAACTCTTGTATTCTTCTGCGAAGCTCCAAGTCCATTTTCAGCCACGTAGTAGTCCTAGCGGCATGTGCTGCGTCGCGCACCAGACATTTCTCTACGCGACCTTGGAGCTTGTGCAGGAAATCGACGAACAACGGTCCCCACTTGATCCTATCTTGAAGATCGTCTGTTTGCGACGCAAGTAACATTTTGTTCAATTTTGAATAACTCTTACACGCTTGTTCGGGCGGTAACTGTTCAACGGCTGCTAGAAAATTATCCTCTAAGCGGCTAATGTTCCACGTCAATTCGCGACCGAGTGACTGGAAATTTTCATTTCCCAAAACTCCCACAAAATTCTCTGACAGGAATTTCACTGACTTCTCTAGTAGTCTCGACACTAGCCGAAAGACTGGCTCTGCCCATCGCACATTGGGTAAAGTGGCCAATAATTTATCGCAGTCCATCATAATTTGAAGTACATTGTCGGTGGACTAAGTAAACAAAAAAATTACAATTAACAAAATGCTGGGAACTTATCTATTTGTAACAAAGGTGAATTTAATATCACGTGCAAATTTTACTCTCAACATATATTTAACTAATCGGTGGATTTTCACATTTTCATAGAAATATTTTTTACGCCAGACAGTATGCGAAAATTCGTGATAACTTTTTATCGAGAAAAATATTCAACGTAATTCGCACATGTACACTTAAGTACATGATAGTTAATATTATATTTTTATGTGCATACCATATGTACTATATGTTGACGATAACACTTCTCCATGAGTTCTCTCGGAAGAGTTGCGAACGCCTTGCATGGCCATATTCGTACAAAATGCTTTGTAACCCATCTCAATGATTTTCGATACACTTCATCCAAACCATATGCTGCTGCTAATGGCATACACTCCAAAACTCCAACAGCACATATCTGGCAAGGCTGAAAGATGACAGTAACATTGCAACTTTGAACTTTTTCGAATATATAGATATCTAAGAATATAATAATTTAATATTAGGGATAAAACGAACTTTATCTGTTCATTGAATTACTAAAGAGATGCAAATATAATATTACCTTGTGAAATAAATGACAGTATTTAAGTTTAAGTGTGTATTCTATAACTTCTTTGAGACCTTCCAAACACAACATATCAGCCAACGTCGCCAGTTCAACGATACTTATAGAATCTGGTATATTACTTTCTCCGCTGTAGATATGACATAATGCAAAATGAACTGCATTATAGGAATATCTGAAATAAAGTTATAAGCAGATTTATAAGTTACTGATGTAAAAAATACAGTACAATACAATACTTTTGATAAATTAAAAATTTCTCAAACTTTTTTTGAACAATGCATCTACCAAGAATATACGACTTTCTGAGACGTGTTACAAGTATTGTTAACATGTACCCTTGTAGAGAAATAACATTGCCTGCACTCTCAATCCATCCACCGCTCAGGATCGCAGCAAAGTATTGGCAACGAGAACTCAGTATACATTTGTGTGCTCTTATATGCCGACCGGCTACGTCTATCGTAACATCAGGGTTGATTTCTTCCAGGAACATCCTTAATAAATCCTCGCCCAATCTATTATATGGCTTTGCGCCAGCTATACTTGATGTTTCAGTCTCCTCTGTGCTGCCTTCTAAATGTTTAAAAAAATATAGTGTTAAAATAATTATAACACCAATATACTTTGTGGATGTATAGAAGACATAAAGTTTTTATGATAAAGATTTCTGTACTAGCGAACGCTAAATTGAGATTTAGCATGTAATACGAAATACAATACGAAAACAAAACATCATCACAAAAAGTGTTATTAACACAAAAATGTTTGTTTTGATGCCTTCTATGTTTCCATAAAGTTTGTCAATCAAATTTTTTATTCTATACATATATAAACTGAGATACAGTTCAGACTAAAAAGAAAAGGAAATTACTTAAGTTTCTCTAATATAACGAGCCATTTTATCCTATCGATAATTTTACTACGACAGATCTTAGTGTATCTCCATACGTACCCGCTCCAGAACGTCCCATACTACTTTGCATACTGCTAAGATCGGATTCTGAAATAATTCCTTCTCCTTCGCAGTCACCGGTCAAATCTTCCAATGGAGACTTCTGTTTCGACGGAAGGGACGTGCTCATAACAGAAGCAAGTTTCCTAGACACCGGTCTGACTGGACCGCTGTTTCTTGTCATTGCTAACTTGCTCTCTATCCACGATGTCTCCGGGATACTGTTACTCATACGATATGTACTTCTATCATCCTTCAAGGTCAACACATCCGAGGCTGGATTTACAACTGGCGTTTTATCCAAATCCGATAAACGCACAAAGCTAGAACTTGACGTTTTATCGGTATCTAAGTGCAAGCTCTTGGAATTACGACCAAGCATTTTCTCGTCCTTCTTCGACGGTCGGCAGTCGTACGTCTGTGCTCCTTCGTTACTGTAGTCTGGCTCTTTTAATTCACTCTCGATTTTTTTAATAGTCTCGTTCAACGACTTGCGAGTCTCCGATATCTTATTGCTGCTTCCTGTGGTAACTATTTGCGATCTATCGCTGACAACTGGAACTTCGCCGTTCAATAAGTCGGTCAACTCGTACTCGTGATTGTCACTGTCGGGGGAGGGCCCGCTACCACTACTGATATCGAACGTTTCGCTTTTACGCGTCTGTCCCTCCGTGCTCTCCGTGCATGTCTTCTCCCAAGCAGATGTTTCCGAAAACTCATCGTCGTACGCTTTCGCCTCGCTGAGTTCCAGGTTTTCCGTTTGGCCGGAGATTATCTCCTTGTACTCGCGACGATTCGCGACACTGACACGAAGCTCCTCGCTCTCTATTTCCACGTGAGAGTTAGGCGGCGTGTCCCTTACATCAAATTCAAACACGTCCTCGGACGACGTGTCCATGTTGTTGGAGTTATGCTCACGCTCCTGCAACAAAGTTTTGGGATTCTTATGGTTGTAAGATTCCGCTTTGGCAGCATCGCTCAATGAGTGACTGGACGAGCTTGTCTTCGCTTGAGATCGGCTTGAGTCACCGCGATTATCTATAGATATGCTGTGAGCGCGTTTATGCTCTCTTCTAAACATGAGCTCCTTTGCCACGCAACCATTGCTGTTGCTCGCCGGCTGCGTCTTGTCCACGTTCCACGAGTGTCGTTTGAACGTCGGACGCGATGTGGACAGCGTCCGCCTTCTCACTACGGGAGAATCAGACTCGATAAACATGAAGACTGGGCTGGGCTTAACTTTCTCTTTCTTTTGCTCCTGCGGTGACTGATTGTCTCCAGTAGCACTGCTATTATCCCTGGAGCTACTGTCATCTGTTCTGCTGGTGTCCGCTTTATTGGAAATCGTCGAGAAGCTTCGCTTGTGCGTTGGAGCCACGATGTCACCGCTGCTCGTCTCGCTTGTTTCGTTTAAATCGATGAACATCGAGAAGATATTTTTCTTTTCACCTTCATTGGAAGTATCGTTTTTCACGCGCACGTCTTGCTTCTCGGGTGGCTTAACTTTAACATCGTTACTTCCGTCAGAGATATCCACGTAAAATTCACAGTAGGGCTTGCTACTAGTACTATCGGACTTGTTACCGTTATTAGTTTGTTCCTTCTTCCTTTCAACCGAATGATCGCGTTCGACTGGCTCGACATCGTGCACGTTCTTCAGATTGACGAAGAATCCTAAACTACAGTGATGTTTGTCATTATTATTGGATTTTCGCGTGGGTTTCTTCACACACTCGGAAGTCGAGAAGCTCTGCGACATGTTCCGCGAGTTGCCGCGACATTTAGTATCGCCTTTATTGCAGTCGCTCATGTCAACCACCCAGGCAGTCATGGAGGAAGACATTCTAGCGGGTTTCGCTTTGATTTCAGGCTTGTTCATGATCACCGAACCACCCGACACGATCGGCGTAGACTCCGTCTTGCGGCGCACGGTAGGACTATCCGTCGGTTTGGAGTAATCCGACGTGCTGACGCCACCAGAGATGATCGGAGTAGCCTCGTCGCGTTTGCTTCTCTTCATAGACTCCACCTGATTAATATCCTTCTCCAAGATAGAGTCTAAGGTAACCGGTAAGCTACTGCTACAACGGTTGGACGCGTCGTCCGAATCCATGCCACAGTCCAGAATGGACTTATCGCTGGCACTCTTGGTCACAGGGTACACTATGGATGACTTGTTGAGACTGTCTTGCAGATAGCTCTCTCGCTTTTGCGTCCGATCGATCTCGTACTCGCAATTATCTAACAATAAATATGATACTGGATACTGAGTATTAGTGGCGATCTGTACATTGGACGTGTAGGTAATCGATGACGGCTCGGTGATCGGAGGAACTACGGTGTCGGAAGGTGCGGGAGGACAAATAGAGTCTCCGTCCACGCGATGTCCCGAGTATTGCGGAATGGAGCTTTGAAAAACTAGACTACCTTGCCGTCGCTCGTATTCTTGTCTCAAAACAGATAATTTCTCGTCGTTAGAGTCGAGCTCAAACGTATTTCTTCTGATGAGCGATGGTCGCCTGTCCTCGTTCGCATTCGCATCCTTCTCGTGCCCGTTTCCTGCACCTGCCTCGACATTGTTCGACGTTTCCTCCGTTTTCTCGCCCTGATCGTTGCTTATTTCCGTGTTATCAGGACACGGGGACGGATGCGCGCTTTCCCCACTGTCATTTTCCTTAATCTCTACAGCTAATGACTCCTTGTCTGCCGGTCTGCTTGTGTCCACGACCTTCTCCTCCGATGCGGAATCCGCTCGCTTTACTTTACGCGACTCTGGAAGTGGATGCAGACACTCGGTGAGCTTGAGCTCTCGCTCAAACTCCGCTACTCGCTCGTGGCCGGTTTGTAAAGTCGGTACTTTGAGCGGCGTGAATTTGCACTCTTCTACGGCATTATTCGATTTATTGTTCGTTAAGTAATCTGAGAAAAACGCGAAGTGTGATGATGGTTTATTGTTGGTGTAATTGTTACATTGATAATGATTCTTCGCTACATTGGGCACAATGTCCACCACCTCGTCGTTTAGAGTGGACGCATCGATGAAATAATAACCACTCGTGGAGGAATTATTGTGACTAACCGCGTCAGAAGAGCAAGGACGGTTGAATTCTGTTTCAGCCGTTTTACTCGCCGACTCTGCAGCATCAGACTGCACTTTCTGATCTGATATAGACTTGACGGTAGCTTGTTCGCAGTCGCCGCTCGCCGAGAGGACAGGCTCGACAAATTCGAAGGATTCGTTCTCGTCGCTGCCGCAGTCCGACTCGTAGAACGGTTCACTCAACACTCTGTTCTCGTACTGCAAGATCTCTTCGACGTTCAATTTCACTTTTTGAGCATTCTCCGAGTCTGCAGACTGATGTTCCGCTTCCAGAGATGAATACGTCACGTTGTGGCTGCTTGATTCGAACCAAGTTTTGCCGTTCCCGCGATAATTGCCGTTGTTAAGTAACTCACAATGTTCATTGTCTACTGGAAGCTTTTTACAGTCGCTTTCTTTGTTGCACACTCCTTCATCGCGTAACTGATGCGATTTGTCATCATTAGTGGAGGTGTACTCCGTCGTCTGTGTTACCTCCAAATCCGTACTGGAATTTTCAGACGTCGTATTCTCATGCGGACTTATCGAACCTGTCTCCAGACCGGAATCAGCCATTTCCGACGAAGTAGTGATTGCATCCGCTATGTATTCCTTCGTCTCTTGCAGGTACTGATGCTCATCACAATTCGACATCAAACATTTCTCACATATTCTGCAAACAACACAAAATTATAAAACAAATAATTTAACTCTCATTTCAATACCTTAGGAGTTAGAGTCATTAAAGTTACTTGTTTTTAAATTTCTTCAAATATAGAACAAATGCTGGATAGAACAGAAAACAATTAATCAATTGGAGTTCTAACCTTTCATCAATATGAGATATAATACTGATATTGGATTCATTTGAAGAATGACACTCGTAACTTGTGTTTACGATAATTTCCACCAACAATTGCTCTTCTCGAGTGAAATCCAGATTACTATACAGAAGCCTGTAATTGATAAAGAGATGTATAAGATCACTAATAGGTGACCAAATTGAATAAATGTGAAATATCTTTAGCAATGTGCCCATTTTGATATAATTGCAGAAAGATTTACTTTAGACTTTTGTGTGGTCCCTGTAACTATATTAAATACCGACATAATCCTATGTAATCACAGTTACAAACAGATTGATTTCTGACGGATGGTAAAGAGTTTAGCATGCTTATAATGACTCAGAAAGTTTTGTGCATCACAATCAAATTTGTACAATCAATATTTATTATTAATGCACCATCATATATGGGTATCAATAAAACATCTCACATTGCACAAAATTCATTACAAAGATTGCTTTCATATTGCACATATTGTACTATCTTATTGTAACCAAGAGCCCTAAATGATGATATATTTGTAAATATGCAGGATATAAATTACTTAAAATGAGTTACTTAAATAATTCTTTTTTTAAAGACAAAGAAAAATGTTTTACATAAAAATGATTTAGGCTAGGTCTGTTATAGTCAGCTCTATGTTGCTCTTCCAAAGTGTGTTATTTTATATATAATTTCAAAAATAATGTGATAATAATATCTTTATACGTAAAATTACATACATAAAAGAAAAAAGAGCATAGTACCATTTTAAAAATGGGAGTTCATCTCAAATATTCCTTGCTTGTTTTATAAAGAATTTGGACATAAAAATGTACAATTTTACATGCAAATTAATCGTTTTGACAGTTACAAATATAATTTATATAAACGCCGAAAACATGCAAAGAACTGTAATTCAATTGCATCACCTTTGAAAAAATATAATACTAAGTCGTGTTGGGTGGAAATTCATGCAGACAAACGTGACAAACGGAGGTACTTGTGTGTTCTCAATTATTACTGTCTCTATACAAGTGATAACGATGTAGCAATACCTTACGAAGCCTTCAATCTGACGAAAAATTCCGACTTTGTCAAGTATGCAATGGATCGTTTTGTTAGTATAAACAAAATAAGGCTTGAGAACTTCGTACAAGTGTGGCGATCTTGCTCTAATAATACACTGGTTTGTTCGTATTACTTCATAACCATGTATTATATTAAGATCACAATGCAAGGAATCCGTAAAAATTCTACAATAAAAGATTTCCCTTGAGTCTTGTATTGACTCCTTAAGATTTAGTGCATTCTTTTCTTTTTAGATGTATATGAGATCAGGTTTGCTTTTATACAAATCAAACAGGTTGTGAGAGATATCACATTGATACAATTATGAAAAATATAAAAGACAAAATTGTGCAACAGTCGATTAAGTTGGAAGGTACATACGGTACAATTTTGAAAATCTTTGGAAAAATATCAACCAGATATTTACATTACGTACTTATTCTTATACAATACTATTTTACACAGTGGCACACTAACATACTACTAATTTACATGACACATCCTTAAAATTTTAATTATATTAAGTAGATACACTTCATTATGCTTAAAGAGCATTACGCAAAAGTATGTCAGTACTTGTTAAGAAAAAAGATGCAGCGTTGTATAATCCTGTCTCACCTCAATATGCCGTCTTGTAACAGACTGACATTTTTGACAACAGTGCGATGATGCTCCGCACTCTTTCGCTTCTTGAATCCATCACTCGAAAGAAGCCCAGGTTTTACAGAGAAATCAAGACGACGGTGGCAGCGCCACAGGTGCGTTTTGTCTAAATTTCCACTTTGCTTCCCGTCGCTCCTGCCTCCAGCCATGAGGCATGTTTACTATTTCATACTTGTCTACCTTCAAACAGCATATGATACAACACACATACAGATTATAATTCTGTCGAATACGCACATCTAATTAAGATAGTTTATCAATTACTTAATTAAAAGAATAATGTCACTTTAATATATATCTCTTCAAATTTTCAAGATTCTCAAATTCTCGTGTTAAGCTTTAATGTAAAGATTATGTTTTGGAATGGAACCGAGTTGAGTGTGTGCTCCATGAATCTTAATCAATTCGATAACCTGGGTGTCGTCTCTTAAAAAATCGAACGAAATTTATCAGTCAATTATCGTGTGTGGATACGTTCAACGTACTTGTAAGAAACTCTGAGATAGACACGTTCGATGTCAATCAGTGCGGTGCGAACGCAAGCTTGTAAATACATCAAATCCCATATCGACTTCTGTCAAAATTTAGATACACCCTACGACGTGCCTCCCGCCACATTTTCTAACGATAAAACTTGAGCAAAATACCGATTGTCAGCGGGCAGCGGACGCGCGAGAATCGCGTTCAGCGATCAATTCGTACGAGTGATCTCGTTGCGGCGAACGCTCGCTTCAAGCGCGATTTTCTCCTGCGCCGAATAATTTATTGATCGCGCATACATGTTACGTACCTCGCATTATTTCGATCCGCCGGTACGCTGACGCGCGTCATCACCCGTCATCATTCGACTTGACTGCTATGCGTTGCAGCTACGTCGCGCATTATTATCGCGAGTCGTCACGTAACCTTCGCGACGTTTACGGCGACCCGTCTGAAAAATCGCGGCGGGGGCGAATTAATTCGTCGACTTGTTTACCGTGCCGAGAATGCGAACACTGGCGAACGCAATCGTGCGACAACCAGCGACAACTGTCGGTCACTCACGAGCCTCATTGTTGCACTCACTCCCCGAAGGGATATTGTTTGAGGCCCATGGCTATCCAGAGGTTTTATGATTTATTGTTATTCGGCTCTAGAGATAGCAACAAATCGTGAAAATGATATTGTCTCGTAGAAAGGTCGATTGTGGAAAAGACATATTTACATCGGATGGTTTAAATGGAAACCACTTTACCAGAAAGAAGCATGAGAGCGGCCACCAACCTGATTTCAATGGACACAGCTAGACGTATTTTCGAGACGCCATCTAACAAAGTGCGTCTTTACTACGTTATAAGGTGCATTTTCACGGTGGATAAAAATGATAAAATGCGTCTGATTCGTGCCCGTTGTACTTCCGTACAATAATAGTAAGTTAGAAAAAGACAGACGTTTAATCGCTCTATTCTTAAAATGCTCAACTTTTCGCGGCAAGCAGCAGCAATGGGCACACATCGTTCCGCGTTTCTCGCATCTTTTATCCGTTGAAAGTGCGTCTCGCGCGTTAATAAGTCTCGGGAATGTCGAAAATAGCGATGTGCGATCGCCGGGGCGTATTGTGAAAATGTCATTTGTAAGTAATCTTCTCGTTTCTCCTCGCGGTATATCCGGCCGGTGCTTGTCGCGACGTGTCGCGCCGACATTTACATTTGCTAATAACATCGACTCGCTCAAGTAGCAATAGAATCGGACGATCGTCGGATTTATTGAACGGGAATTAGAAATGCGATAATAATTAGAAAGAAAGAGAGAGAGATGCGGAATATTCGAACGGTTGCGTTAACTTGTTAAGAAAAGAGATGCAGAGAGAGAAGTATCTTTCAGAGAGAAGCGCCATTCACATATTGGCGTATAATGGGCGCGTTCAGCGGAAAAAGCGCTCAGTGAGCAATCAGCGATTATTGGTTGTTATTGTTAGATCCCTAAATCTAGACCAATTACATTGACGAATTGCTCAACTGTTATGACTGTTGTGCAACTGTTAAGTTCGCTGAACGCACCCATTTTCAGCATGATTCAATAATCGCGGAATCCCCGAATGTCTAGTCTCTACTCAAGCGTCTCTAGCGCCTAGCTCTACCTACTAAAATCAAGCTGGTGGCTGCTCTCAGACTTCTCTCTAACTTTACCTATGGCAGTTTTCAATATCTGCCGCGTGCCGCATCTCTCTCTTTATCTCTCTCTCTCTCAGTACTGGTTCCCGGAGCTCTTTCGGGTTAGTTCCCAAACACCATTTTCCGATGCGCGCCGTATCGATGGCGTCGATATATCGATGCAGTAATCGACGCGTTGTATCGATATCATATTTCGAGATCTATCATAGCATCGATTAAAAACAAACATGGCGCGATAGGAAGAATTAGAAGAAGCATTTTGTATTTTCTGTGACTTCCACACGCCGAAGATGAGCCTCGTGTCTAAGTTATCGTCGTTAGAATCGCTCAAAGTAAGCTTCTTACATTTATTATTAAAATAGATGGTTAAAAAATGTTACTGAGAGCGAATATCTTGCGGAAGCGTCGAACAAGCTCTGTCATGTTTATGTTACTTTGAAAGTTGTGTAGTGCGAAAGAAAACTCGGTTTCGACGGTATCATATGGATAATTGAATCAATTTGTGATTCAGACAGATGTCGTCACTTTACTATAGTTTTTACTTTATTTCAAGACACGTAACTGTAGAACTTGAGAGACGGTACACACTTTACCTGCAGGCGAAATCTGCTCCCTTGTTGGATTTTGTAAACGATAAAACCGTTTTATTTTAATAATTTGCGTACTCGTGTTTTGTACAGTATCATAATAATAATCGTAATAATAGAAGTAGGAGTAACAGTAGTAATTACAGTAGGAGTAATAGTATATAATAATGATGTATAATCGTAAAAGCACCAGCCGCAACGATTAGAAACAGCTAGCGCTGGTGATAGTGGTACGATCTGCTACGAAAGTAGCATTCGTTATTCTCATCTCATTGCTCGAGCTTCGTTTGATTATTCGAATTCTAAAGAGAAATCGTAAGTAACGTAAGCCGGCGACTCGGGAGTTTCCGAGAAGTATTGCCAGAAGTGGATGTGTAGAAAACGTCGCGACTCCACTGCGCTCCACCAATTACGTTTGACGATTCGAAAGACGTTAAACGAGATTGTGGAATGATCGTGTACCGAATTTGAAGTATATTTCTTTCCCTCTTTTTCTTTTTTTTTTTTTGATATCTGTATAGACGCCGAAGCGATCAAAAGTTTTACTCCTCTTCCTCCTCCTCTTCCTCCTCCTCTTCCTCCTCTTCCTCTTCTTCCTCCTCCTCTTCCTCTTCCTCCTCCTCCTCCTCTTCGCCTTCCTCTTTCTCGCCAGCCTCTTCCTCCTCTTCCTCATCGAATTGCGGCTCCTCGAGGTCGTCGTCAACCGTAGCCTTCACGTCTTCTTCGCCCTCGGGTGTTTCGGGATCGCCAGCCTTCTTGCCCGGTCGTTCGCCAAACCACTTCGGCAACTTCGCTGTTATCCGCACGGAGCAAAAGATTAATCTCACGCCGCGATCGGAATAAAAAACGCGAAGACCTGTATTAATTCGTGAACGAAACTCCACGAAGATATATAACGACGAAGTAATTGTCTACGTACGCGCCCGTGTACGAGACACTTTTGTTACCATAGAAGAGGAAACTCATAACGATTCATCAGAACTAACTAAAACAAAAATCCTATCTTCCTGTTAATTTTCAGATAAAATTACGATAATGTATAAAGTTAATTACTTTTTTTTTCTTTCTTTTTTCTTTCTTACTGACTCAAAGTTTCAAAAGTTGAGATCATACGTACTCTTCTGGCGACCCATAAACTGTTCCTTCTGTTCGGCCCACTGTTTCTCTAAAATCTCCTTTTGCTGTTCGGTCAGGCCCTGCAACACCAACGGACAGAACGGCATGCTAGGAGTTATTTTCACACATCGGAAATGGGCTTTCGTCTGGAAATCCTTTTCTCCGTACTGTCGTTTATCCCGGGTTGCAAAGATTTCTTCGTGGCGAGGGTCGGGGCTGGGGGTTACGGCCGAGAAAATTAATGACACAATGATTTCACTCTTGTGAAATCGTCTTTGAACGAATTACTATCTTCGACGTTTGACGATCTCGACACCTGAGGACGAACTCTCTTTGGATATCGTGTATAAAAATGAGAAGACGAATTAAACAACCATCTTTGTAGCGATTGAAGGCAAACACACTGAGAACATATCATACATTTTCGAAAAAGACATAAAGTGACAAACCCACAGACGACGTCGACGGTACTTTAGTAAAGTGAAATTATTCTCATGGTGATCGCTGTCGTGATTTTTCATGCTTTCCATTCGCTGTGCTGGGCATTGTGCACGAAAAAAAAAAGGGGAAATCGCTGTCGGCGTGTGAGCACAAGTACAATGTACCGTGCTTTTCAGGTTATACCGTTCAAACAACAGCAGCGATTTCGGGCAGCAGCTGCCTCGACCGTTTAATCAACGAGGAGCGAGTGAAGAAATTAGAAACATGATCGCCGATGAGATCTCGGGGATACAACCAGCAAGGCAAGCAAAGGGCAGTAAGTGACAAAGGGATCACAGCTACAGTGACAGAGGGATCACGGTTGGACTCACTTTTGTTGCGCTTCGTAAACAGTTCTGCTCTCTGTTTCCACATTTTCTCGCTGGTCTCAGCTAAGAGCGTGTCATAGCCCTGCGATTCAATCGACATATGGCTCACTAATCGCTATCTTTGCAGGGGGTCATTCCTATCGTATTTTGTCCGGTCTACTATACAGTGTGCAACGAGCCAGGGAGAGGTTCCTACGTGTAGGTATGCTCGTACTTGACAGCATCTCTGGATGTGTTCGTGTAAAAATCGGCTAGTGTAAAGAGTATCGTGGAATGAGAGTTTTGGGTTTAATTCTTCTGTTCTCCGAATCAACATCGTCGAGTGGATTTTAACGGATCGAAATGCACGTATGTACTTACGCCCTCAAAGAGTTTCTTCTTGTCGTCGTAGGATCGGGTATCGACGCGACGTTCGTACTTCGAAGCGACTTGGATTTTCGGCTGTAAAGAAACAATTCGATCAATCCGGCATTATCTTCTCTATTTTTCTTTTATACGCGATTAAAACAGACACGGGATACATACGGGATATTTGCCAGTTAAAGCTTCAGGGTCGAGACCCTTCTTCAGAGCTTTGTGCCTCAGTTGTTGCTTTTGACGTTCCTTCAGCTCTTTAAGCTACGATATGTAAAGAATAATGTTTTTTTACTTCATGAACGGAAACGCACGTTTGCTCTCTTAATTAAAAATGCGATTAGAAGAATCGTCGACTGCTTTCGCAGGCTATAGACTAGTCGCAAAAACTCACGTCATATTCCTGACGTTTTTGTCTCTCTTCTAGATCGTACTTCTCAGTTTCAAGTTTTACTATGCTCTCCCACAATTCGGTCGCCTTAGTACGGAGCTTGTCGATCGACATGCCCTCGATCTCCAAGGGTTTGATGCGAATGCTGAGGGAAATTTTCTTTTCCTCCTCGAGCTGCTCCTTCGTCTTGTTGCGTTCAATTTGCGCCGATGTAAGATTACCCTATGTTTAAATCGAGCAAATTTTAAACGAATTGCTCTAGTTGGTAAAAATTAAAAGAGTACAGTACTTAATTTATACATTCTAATACCCACCGAAAGATCTTTTTTAGTGATAGTAAAGTTGGGACCCTTTTTACTCTGTTCTTTCACCGCTTGCATCATAGCCTGACGCTTCTTTTCCGATTCCTCCAGGCGCCTAAAATGTGATAAATAACATGAAACAGTGACAAACTTTGTAATTTGAAATCTATCGTAACCTCTGTATTTTTGTGTTGGAATTGTTTTACTTTAATTAAGCTTCAAGCTTGTATTCGTTTAAAATATTATACGATAGTTTCGGGACAAGTCGCATACACTTACCTTCTCTTCTCTTCAATGTCACGTTGTTTCTTCTCCTCTGAAAAAATTCAGATGCCTCGATTGAATTTCTAGTTCCATTGGAAAGACGAAGAAGGGGGAAGAATCGGGATAAACGCATTTACCGATTTCACGTTGACGACGTTCCTCTTCTTCCTTCTTCTTTTGAGCCAATCTCTTCTCCTCTTCCGCGCGGGTGACCTTGCGCTTTGCTTGTTTCTCCTAAGAAAAAAAAAAACAGCATATATTTTTGATATAAAATATCAAGTGGAAACTAATTGGAAAAGAAGAATACGAATCGAATAGAATCGCACCTTTAATCTCTTCAACTCGTCCTCCTCCTTGGATCTCTGCTTTCGCCATTCCGCTATATATTCTTTCAGTTGTTCGTCGAGTTCACTCCTTTTTTGTTCTTGTTTCTGAATTTTTTTTTTAACAATAAATTAGTCGTGTATACATAATCATATTTTTTCTAATGTTCGTGCTAGGGCCCAACGTTTCCCAACGCGAAAGAAAAATAAAGCACACCGATATATCTCGTAACCCAAAGCAAAATTGTTAAAATATTTTTTCTTTCCGTCTTGAGGATTTCTGGGTAATAAAAGAAATAAATAAATTGTTACTATCTTTCTCATTAATTTATTATTAATTTCTCATTAATTTATCTATTTCTTTCATCGATTGTAAAGGAGATTATAGATTTTGAGATAGAGAAATTAGCGAAAAACTTAACTGGCTACTGATAAAGAGTAGATCGATTTAAAAGAGAAATTTGCAATCGTAGAGAGTGTTGGGCACTGCTCGACTATTTGCGCGAGTACTGATACTCACCTTCATAAACTCGATACTCTCGCCAGATTCCCTGAAGGAGGCCGGAGCGAAAACAGAAGTCACTCGCTTTAAATCACGACGATTGAGCTCGTTCTCTGGAAGATCTCAAGAGATCTTCCAGAACTCCATACGCGGCTCTCACGTCCGCGTCCCGGCTACGTTTATTACAATCCATCCACGCATTCTCTCCCATAGTGCATATTATTTAATGCCGCTCATCGCACGTTTTCACACACAGACAATACGTGAGCGGACACAATCAGACAGATAAATACACGGACGGACAAACGGGGGATCAAAGAAAAAGTGAAACGGGTCAAGAGAGAGGAAGAGATAGGGGCGATTTGAAAGAGAGAGAAAAGAATCAGGCAAGTAATGTATCCAAGCATGTAGGGAAACGAAATCAAAGTACGTGTTGCCGCGAGTCATGGGAGCTGGCATTAATGAGAGTAGTAAGAAATCCCATGGCTATCTTAGATGAATTATTCTGTCATCAGTAGCCGCGAAAGGCGAATTGACTGACAATTTTCCAAATTTTCAGAAACTTTCCATCGATTTCGTGGATCGAATTAGAAATCGAGAAAACACATAGGAGCACAGATGCTTGTTTCAAAAGACAAATCGCTAAAAAAAAATGCCAAATGTAAGAAGATACGGCATTATGGAACCTTGATTGTTCCTTTTAAACTGAAAGCGTTTTGCTCGAAACTTTTGGTATTTTTGGGCGATTCGTGTCGTCAAGTATCACGTAAAACCGCTGGCTGACAGGAACTACGGACATAGGTATTACAATTATTGCTTGCAACTCAATCAATTATGGTATGGAGTCAACGTAATTAATAAGGGGAAGTCGGGCATAATAACGAATTTTCAAATGTAAGGACATGACATCACTTTGACGTAACTCGAACAAAACGTAATTACGTACAACGCCGTTACACGTTAATTCGTTTATTAATCAAACTCGTTTATTAATCAAAGAGGCAAAACGTAAAAGACGCGAGAATACGAGAAGGAATAGTAACACGTGTAGGAGATGGGTAGTATGTGTGTATGTGTAGAACGAATGATTAGATATCACCGACAGGATTGAGATTCGTTATAACGGAACTAATTAAATTCAGAGGGTGTAGTTTTGACTCTTGACACGATACAAAATACAGGTAAACGCGATTGCGAGTTCTCCAACAAAACATAATTATCGAGTTCATTTCTGTAGTGCATTTTTGATTTGTTCTAAAGAATTTTCTCTGAAGCTACAATATTGTTTCTTTTTCAAATTCTTGTAATTGTGTCAGCCACACATTATGTAATCTTATTTGGATGATATAAAAAGATCGCATTAAGAGAGCAAGCCCGAATATACGATATTACAGGAACCGCGGGTACTACGTATTAAACGGTCAGCTGTTAATTAGATCACGTTGGCGTCGGGGCGTATGATACGTTTTGAGCAGACGTCGGTCTCAGAATAAACCGCGTTACGTTATTGTGCATGTATTTACGAAACGCCTGGCAGACTACCAAACGGCTCAAGTATCGTCGCGTATTATGCAATCGCTATGGAATCTTTATGAAAGACTCGTAATGTTTACGAAAAATATACTATTATATTGTACTATTATTTTGCCAAAGCTACAGGCCAATGATCGCGCAATCTGTTACGTATCTATGAATAAGAACCTTCGATATAGACAGAAATTGTGGCATACTAGCTGGCCGCGACGTGAAACGTCGAAACGTTCCCTACGATCTCATTCTTGTCGTAATATAAATTTAAAGGTCTGACGGTCGGTCTCGTCAGCGTCGATTAACTTTGATCTATAATTTGGCCAGTGCTCGGTCTTTTTCCTATTATAAGAGAAAGGAATTGGATGTTTTATCATCACGCATTTACGTTTAACTACGTTTTCTTGATTTTCGTCTTCGTCTTAATCTACCGACAAAACAAAGTTTAAGATTAGACATTCAGTATTAAATATGTTGCGTCTGAAAGTGCGAGCCAACAACTCAGAGACCTTCTCATAGACAGATGTATACTAGGTACAAACGCACCTGTGCCTTCAGTTTGTAAATTAATCATTCTTAAACCTAGTGGGAAAATGAGAATTAACAAATTTGCATCTTCGTCTACAATTTAAACAGCTGTGCCCGAGCAGAGATTAAATTTAATCGACGCCAGGGAAACCGATCCCGGGAGTGTGAGAGAGCGGTCGAAGAAGGGAAGGATATATTATTGACGTATGAACACCTCGATATATAATGAACTTACTTTTGGGACGCCCTACCCCTATAAAAAAAGAAAGTACAGATTCATTAATAAAGTCATGTGATGAGTCGTTTACATAGGACTGCACAAAGCTGCGCGTAAATTATAATCGGTATCGTTCGTCTCCAATTTGCGCCTTCCTTTTCGTTCTTTCTTTCTGTACAAATTTATTACTCGACTGTTTGCGCGAAATTGAGTCGTTTTCATGTTACCTTAGAAGAAAAACGTCCAATAATTATTTTTTAGTTTTCAATTTCAAGAGTATTAGAATCATTTAATAATTTTGATTCTTAATATTAAACTAACACTTTAATATATTAAAGAAATGTAAGTTCTGGGGAGAGGAAGGAATCTTTACACATTTACAGATCCTAAGGCTCTTGTGATCGAAAACTGAAATGGATTTTTTCTCCAAAGATATATATGTATTATCTGCTTTACAATTAAATTATTATAGGGACTCGACATGAATCTCGACAATATGATCAATTAATCACACGTGTATGTGTGTAATGACACTTTACAGAGTACTTCGTTGCCCAGTTGATAATGCGAGGTAACAGAGGCTGATTAGGCGACAGATATAATGATAGACATGACGAGGATAAAGGTAGGCATGGAGAAACAAAGTGCGGGTGAGAAATACATACTTTCGCGATTGGTGCAATTGGTGAAAAAAAAATCGTATCTAACGCTAAATAAATCTGGATTAAAATCTTTCAGCTTAGAACGAGACACGAACGCAACGAATCTTTCCGGCCGAGAATCATCGAAAAATCCGGGACCGAAACAACCGAAACGAAATTGTGGCGTCGCAACACATCTTCACGGTAGTTGTATAATGCTCATTACGAGACTCCTGGACTTACTTCCTGAAATGAAAAACGGAACGAAAGCCAGACGTTAGAGATATCTCAGGAACGATATTAGAGGGATTGTACGTGATCGAAGGTGAACACTTACACATCCTCGACTTCCTCCTCGCCGCTGTAAAAGAGAAAACGGAAAAAGCTCCAGTTAGTTGGGGCGGACACAGTAAGGGCGATCGTTTAGACGAGTAACAAACGGGGGCTGGGGGGACTTAAGCTTTTGGAATTGCTCGAAGCTCTCGCTTTTCGCGCAAATTTATCCTGACAAAAGTACCATTACAACCTACAACCTCGTTCCAAAGTAACACGGAGAAATGTTGTTTCACTTCGAGCGCGGATATGATCGGGTCGTAATGTAAAAGGAACAAACACTGAGACGACACAGCTGGACAAGAATGTAAAACAGCACATTGAAACACGACGCAGCAAAGACAATGGGCAATATTCAATCTTACGTGGACGATATCTATTCAGATTTCAGATTGTTCACGTTCTATACACTGTGACTACGAGTCAACCGCGATCTTGGTTCAACTATCGTTGTATTTTAGTAGATATTCTCTCATATCTTGAGATCGTCGCTGATGCATCTTTTGACCCCTGCATTTCGATTTACTGTATGTGTTTCAAAGAATAACAGCATTTCATTGCAGATTCTATATTATAATATTCTATAAACATTTTACTTTGCAACCTATAGAAATTTATTTTATATTCCGCTAGAATTAAAGGAGTATATTCAAATATTAGTTTTGTAAGCGCGTCTCATTGAAGTTCGTAATATTATATTTCGTATAATTCGTAATATAATTTAACTTTTGATTTCATGCCGTTAGAATTTGCAATCAGCTCAATTTCATAATGAGATAAAATGTACGAATTAAAAGAAAGAAAAACTAAATGTAATAGTCGATTATTTACGCGATCGAATGTAACTTAAGAGTAATTAATAATTAAGTAAATCAAGACCGTGTTACTTACGAATATTGGTCCTCGTCGTCAGACATGTTGCCGGATGTTCAAAGTGCTGCAACACGCAAATGAAACGAAACGTTGATTATAAACATTGAGTTTGTAAAATCAATCCCATATAATTCCACTAACATTCCCTCGAGAATAAATGCCGCAAAAAACTTGTTTAAACATTCATTAACAAAACTCATTATTTCAGAGTTTGAAAATAACTATTGTAAAAGTCTAATAAATTTTGGATGCGTCGATATAACTAGACAAAGTGAAAAATCTAACGAAGAATAGCACAGGTAGACTTGGGATTGTACATGTAATTTTGTCGTATTACTTACGGATTTGTGTACTATCACTACTTTTATAACTTACAACTTAATCACAGATACAATCTGGGACTATCCTGACCTAAGACGCGTCACAATAGAGATCTCCCTTTGATGTCACTTACATAACTTATCCACGACGCGACAAGTTTAAAAAAAGAAGCGGACACTAAAGTTTGAAGAAGTGGAAAAGCAAGATGTTCACCAGTTATTTCGCACTATAAGGAGGAAGAAGAAGTTGGAAGAACTAACAGGAGGAGAGAGTGGGAGGTAGCGAGTAGAGAAGACACTCAAATGCAAAAAAATATGACGGAACCGCACCTTGCGGGGAATGAAAAAGAAACGAGAAGAAGAGTCGAAATTAAATAAGCTGGATGGCGCGCACCGTCGCGACGATGCTAAAGTAATCCGATATTCCGAGACGGGAGAGAGAAAATGCCAGTTTGCTAACCCTGGTCGCAAACTCAGAGTCTCAAGCTCTATAAGGGGCCGTCCCCTTCTCTTCTTCCTCATCGCTCTAATTTTAGAGAGGAACGACATGCTCGCTCGTTCCGTCTCCGAGCTTCTATTTCTCTCTTTCTGCAACCGTTTTCTCGCAAACTTCATGGGAGCTTCACGGAAGCTAAAGCCTTCGCTCATCGAACTATAACATTTCTAAAGCTAGCTAGAGGACCATTAGAAAATACCGATATCTTCGGTTTCTTCGTTGGAATTGGGAAGCGTCACGACGTCGCAATGTCAATTTCTACTTCTTCATCCTGAGCTTCCTCTCCTTGTATTTATTTTCGTCGCTCGAACCAAATTCTCTTTCTCTCTCGCTCTTCCTTTACATTTAACATTCTCATTTTGAGATGCTATATATTTTCCAGATAACTCAATAACCTAAAAGTCGTTGTAATCTCTCTTTCGCACGTTATGTAGACATAAGTAAATATTTTTTTCTTTGTTCTTCTTCTCTTTTTTAAAAGAAAATTATTTCAATATTTTAGGATTGAGAAGCAATAAAATAAAACAACAATAAGATAAATACTTTATAATGATACAATTTTGCAGCATACGGGATAGTTTTCTAGTTACAGAGAATAATTTCATGATTATCTAATTTACCAAAATAACAATTAGAAAAACGAGGAAAAGGTTTGTGATTATAAGCAACGAAATAGGAACCATGATGAACACACATGGTTTTGGGTTCATGCGTTCTCTTCTTCTTTCAAAGAGTGAACGAATTTTATGCGGAATTTGTGTTCTATTTGCTTTGTTAATAAATGCCATAATATTCGTACTTCTGTTGCAAAAATATTAAAACCCTAATAATTAATATTAGTAAAACACCCACACGAGAGATCCGTTGCTAAATTAACATTACACTTTAAAATTACCTTTCCAGTCGGGCAGTTCGAGATGCACTACCTAAAGTTTCTTGCCAGTTATTCCGTCGACGCGAATAGTGGAGTGGAAGGGAGATTTTGTTTATATCGAGCGACGGCGCACGCGGAAACAAATGCACGCGCGTCTTAAAAAAAAACTCGTTGATGACGAAGTTAAAATAACTATAGAATATAGAATAATTACGTGATTTTCATTAATATAGCAATGTACTTTAAAATTTTTTATTTAAAAAATGGAGAATATTATATATTATATACATAATAATAATTATCTTGACAATAGCACAATTTGTTTTTCCCTCAATAAAAATATTTAAAGTTTTTTGTAGAGACATATCTTATGAAAGATAATATCGCATATAATTATTTTCAGTTTTAGCCAATTTTACATTTGTTATACAATCTTATAGTCATATAAAATTACAGTCTTGCAACTTTTCGTCATTTTATATAAATAATAAATATATTTCATTATAATTATATACCAATTATTTTATGTTATTAAATCATTTACCCTTTCTGTGTTCCAATCTCGGTCTTCCTTTTTTCGTGGTTGGTTTATCCTTTCCTTTATTTAACAAGGGATGAGTTTCTGTAACATGAATTATGAGTATTTTATTTTGCTCCTAAGTAAACTATGTATGTCTGTGTGTTAAAATTACTTTATATTATACTTTAAATTTTACCATCGATTGGTGCTCCCTGTAAATGTATATCGTGCGAACGATGTTTCTTCAGAGGTGGTTCATGCGGTGTTACTTGGTTATCTTCAGAATCTTCTACATCTGGAGATATGGGTAAGAATTGAAGAGAACCGATATCTTCAGTTTCTTCGTCCGAGCTGCAAAATGCGGCAACTCTATCAATTGATGCGACATCAACCTCTATTTCTTCATCCTGAGCCTCCTCTCCCTGTACCACAGACTTATCTTCGTCGCTCAAATCAAATTCGCTCTCTCTTTCCTCATATTCGACATTCTCATCCAGTTCCTTAAAATCTGGTGCAAATGCTGACCAATTTTCCACTTGATTTTGTGCCCAAATAGAAACCACACCTGATGATATGGATGCAATTATCGGTCTTACTGGATGCCACTACAACAAAAAAATAAACGTTAGAAATAGTTTGTTCTATATATTTTAGCTGAAATTTTAAATAGAACACTTACAAGTCATATAATAAACTTAACTTAAATTTTCTTACCACAACATCGAGTAAAAGTTCGCCCTTGGTTCCATGTAAGATTTTCACCAAGTTTCCAATACTTTTCTCCCACACATACAATGCATGTTGCCTTGCTGATCCAGCACAGACATATTCTCCATCACCAGAGAAACAACATTTTTTCCACATTGTTTTATTTACAAGATCTTGCAGCTTCTGAATTGGCTCAGGTTCGCCATCTTTGCCACAGGCTAATATTTCAGTACTATCATATACACGTATTACTCTATCAGACGTGTTAACCAAGAAACAGGAGCCTCGTCGTGCAAATTCTATGCTCTTTACTGCTGTATTACTAGCAGTACCTTGTGAAATTTTATAAGAAGCTTTTACAGTTAATGTCTCAGCATCAAGAACTAGAACTCTACCACGAGCATTCCCTGTATATACATAATCTCCACGTCGGTCAAATGATGCTACTATGTTTAAATCGCTCTGAAATTAGAGTAATATCGTTTTCAAGTATATTGTTTCCATTCTCCTAGAAATTATTAATAATTAAAATACATTTGTATATCTCATTTAGCCTATAGAGAATTACTTGATACTGACTTTTTATTAAATTTGAAACAATACATACATCTTCATCTAATGGTATAACTCTGTGTGTGCCTTCAACATCAACCATAACAGCAGCATGACGCATGGGACATACCAAAAATTTATTGAGATTTCTGGGATGAAACTGTACCTTCAATATTGGAGAAGGAAATCGATATTTTTGATCACATTCTCCAGACAGGACATCCCAAATACATACATTATTGTCTGTAGAAGCACTTAGTAACTTATGACCATTTCTTGACCAACTGAAAAGTATAATAGATTCAGTATGTCTTGATTTCATGTTAACTTTTCTCTACAAACTATTCAACTTTATTACAAACTGGATATATTTTGATAAACTTATTATATTACCTCAATGAACATACAGGATGCACATGAGCACTGATAATCTTGGCTATACCACGAGTCAAAAAATCCCAAATCACAAGTCTCCCATCATTGCATCCAACAGCAAGTAATGTTCCCCTTTTATTAAATGTACAAGTAACAGCAAGAGATATACAATCTAATGTACCATCAAATTCCTAGTAAAAGAAAGACAATAATTGAAAATGATTGAAATTCCTAGTAAAAGAAAGACAATAATTGAAAATGATACAATAATCTCTCATTACTTTAGTAAGATGAATAGAATTAACATTGAACACATACCTCTGGATAATTTTGCCCAAATGACTCTGTACAAATACGAGTGTTGTAATTAAATGTATATATATTATAAAGTTTATGTACATTAAAAAATATTGGGAAAAAGATTAGTTAAAACAAAAATAAAGATTTGTTTCTTTACTATATAACTTGTAAAAGAATTTACATGTAACTTGTGTTAAAATTTAAAAATATACTTTCCGTATTAAAAACATAGTTACCTAACAGTTCTAAATTCATTTTTTATAGCGTCCAGTTGTGTGTTTTTGTGATTAAACTATACAATACTAGATTTACTTTTAGGTTATAACTTTGACTATATAACCATAGACCGCTAGACGCTATTTTATGTCTGCAGCAAAACGTCTGTCAACATCTGCAGCGCCACCAGGACCAAACGGCTATTACGTAAACTATCACATACTTGTGATTTCTATTTTATCATGTAAAAGATATTTTGTGTGTGTGTCCGTGATCATAAATTGCAGTTATCATTAAAATACATGAAAAATTATTATGATATTTCTTTAATCGTCAATAACAGACTTTTTCATTTTTTCTTCAAATAAATTATTACATTAAAAAAAAAGTTATACAACTTTGCTATAATATAAAAATCAACAATTTTTAAAGTAACAAGAAAAAAAATCTGATTTGCAAGGAAAATATAAAACACAAAATAAGATATTTGTATAATAAGAGATATAATATATGAATAATGTATGAATATATACATATATAAATATAAATATATAAATATATATATATATATATATATATATATATATATATATATATATATATATATTAAGAATGTTTATATAATATATATATGTGATATTATAAAAAGAACGTTCAACATTTTTTAAAACATTATTTAAAATACCGTCCTTTGAGGTAACTTGGAACACTGGAGTAACTTTGAACAATTTGCAACGGCTTACAAAAACATGTGGCATCATTAAACGAATAAAGGTAGAATTTTCATATCAGCGATATAAAAGTTACTCCAAATGATGGTGTATTATTGTACTTGCAATAAAATAATTTTTGTCAATTTATGTCTGATATATTGACATTTTTGGCTCATTAATTTTCCTTCATAATTCATACAATACATAATTCATAACAATCCATACAATACATAATTTATAACAATTTTAACATAATTTTCTATAATTAATTTTGTTATAAAGTATTTGTGGTTTTCAAGAAAGTCTAATTTTTTTTATTACTTCTATTAGGTTTTTCCAATATGTATCACCATGTGATACGCGGATATTAGAAGCGTTTACGTTACTAACTCCGTTTTGCTTTACTGAGTTCCTTCTTTTGCCGTTGTTGGTCCTGGCGGCGTTACAGATATGACAGACGCTTATGGTTCCTGAAAGATTAGAAAAAATGGCTCTAATGACTCCTGCACACAGGACGCGGTAATCTTGCCGCGCGGCGGAAGTTCGCGCGACAGCCAATCAATATGCTACTTTCCGTAATAATCTTCTAGCTTTTACAGAAAAACAACATATTGATTGGCTGTCTCGCGGACTTCCGCCGCGCGGCAAGCATTACCGCGTCCTGTATGCAGGAGCCATTAGAATCGCCGCTAGCGGTCCATATTGTTAAAGGTTATATAGTATAAGAGTATATAGCGGTTATATAGTTAAAGGGTTATAACACCTATGTAAATCGTTGACAATGGGTGCGATTCATTACACGCTGCAGATACTTTAAAACGCCGAATAGACCAGTCATGGCTTCTCTTTAAGCGCTTCAAAGCATTTGCGACGGCTAATGGATCGTGCACAAAAGTGGCTCAAGTAGTGAACTACCTGGCGCTATCTAGCAATGTTGTAAAACACCCAGGTGGCGCGAGGTTTGAATCTCGGTTCAGTAAGGTTTGATTCTTAGCTAATTAACTTATGTAATATAATTACCTTATTTAATTATCTTAATTAACTTATGTAATGTAATTAACTTACTTAATTAACTTATGACGATTTATGTGACTTTGCACACTGGACACTTTGCTCAATGAGCGATATCCAATGAAAGGTCTACTTTAAATAGAAAGGAGAGCTCTCATTGGATATCGCTCATCGTTCATCACATCCAGTGTGCGAAGCCGGTATACATAACGCCGATATTTACATACATTGACGCAAGAGGTTAGTGCACTTATTAGCTACATTCGTATTCAGCCTGCTGAGCTTTAACGGGGACAACGAAGATTCGATTGAATCTCTTGCCACGTTGTCTCATATGTTACGCGCGCGCATTCCGCGAGTGTCATCTACAGGTTCGCAAAGGAGAGTCTCGTTTATTCAATCTCTTAGAGAAAACAAAAAGCATTGATGAATTAATTAATTTCGTGTGATAGGTGTGATTGTAGTTCAACTGTTCGATTGCCGAAATTCTGATCATGATGCGACTGAGTTTCGCACTCGTTCTTATTGTCGCCGGTTTACACGTTTCCACCGGCGAGGACTGCAAGGGATGTGTTCCCTTGGATTCTTATTCGTTTGACAAGGTAACGAGAGTTCGCTGAAAATTCTGGATTCTCGGAGCCGAATATAATAATTGAAACTTGTGAGAATCTTAATGTAACAATGTAATAAAATATGTGAAAAATTAATGGCTTGTAGTCTCTCAACTTTTTATATACATGTATGAGATGTACTAGAAGTATATAGAAATTTATAGATAATTATTGTCACGCGAGGTTATCCGCAAGACTTTTGATAGAATGTGGCGCTCCTTATATCATCTATTTATGTACGTTTCCTTTTGCACTTTGAAAAAAAAATAACGATTAAAATATCCAATATCAATATACAGTCAATTTACAGTCAATATCAACGAATAAAATTCGTTCTCTGTGCCAGTCTATCCTGTCAATTTCGTTTTTATTGCAATCAGCCGTCGTTGCTATAGTTACCAAGGAGTCAATCATGAATCTTTCCTGTTAATGTATACTCGTGAAAAATGAAAAATCTAACCTTGAAAATATATGAAAAATATTAATTTTTCACGAGTTTATATTAGAAAACAAAATTCATGATCGCATCCAAGTGCTGCAAAATTATTCACTTTTCATGATTTTATATTTAGGAAACAAATTACATAATTGATCGAGTTCACGTAAAAAAAATTTGCGATTGATATATGGCCATCCATCATATTGACGAGTAATTCCGTTCCCATATATATAACTTTCCTGAATATTTTTATTCAGCTGCCATTAAAGTTTAATCAATTGTAGTAAACGTACTGTCGAAAAAAAGAAGCGCAAGAAAGTCTTTCTAAGGCAAAACATTCTTAAATTACGATATCCGCATCAAAAATGTCTTCCTGCAGGTGATCCCCAAGTTTAAGACAGTGCTTGTTAAGTTTGATGTCGCATTCCCGTATGGTGGCAAACACGAGCAGTATGCTACTGTAGCAGCTGATACAAGGGACTCACAGGATCTTCTAGTAGCTACAGTAGGCGTGAAGGACTTTGGCAATAAAGACAACTCTGATCTAGCACAGCGCTACAACATAAAGAAGGAGGACTTTCCAGTGGTATTACTGTTCGTACAAGGCAGATCAGAACCGATTAAGTTTGTTCCCGAGAGAGATTACGACTTCACTGGAGAATATCTGAAACGGTTCATCAGATCCAAGTCTAGAGTATATCTGGGTCTACCAGGATGCGTAGAACGGCTAGATAGACTAGCTGAAGAATTTAAAGTCGCAGGGGAACAGGAGAGACAGGTAACACAATCCATGACCAGGAAACTATATCGAGTCCAATAATGCAAATTGTAAAGCTCCTATAATTAAAAACTAAAGAAATGATTTCTTGCAGAGATTTGCAGAAATCTCTATTAAATCTGTTAAAATCTACTATCTTTTCTCTGCAGGAAATATTGAAGAAGGCAAGAATCTTTGAGGAAACTTTGCCAGAAGAACAACGGGAAGCTGCAAAGGTTTATGTAAAAACCATGGAAAAGATTTTAGAGCGTGGAGATATATTCGTGCAAACGGAAGAGACGCGAGTGCAAGGGCTTCTTTATAGAGGAAAACTGTCCGATCAAAAGAAACGCACGATGGAGGAGAGACGAAATATTCTACAGTCTTTCTCGGCTAGGGACGAGCTTTAGACAACACGTCGAATTAATAAATAATCGTCCAAGCATCTGATAATTCAGTTTTAGTACAAATATCAGCTATTCAATTGTTATTCCGAATTATCTTATATGCTGGATAAAACTTTATATCAGGCGACAATAGGAATAGGAGTTACTGTCGCTTGATATCTTAAACACTACAGTATTTCTTTAATACTTTTCTTTTGTCACGGTATATGTATATATAATCCTGTATATATACAGGACCCTCAAAATGCAATATTATTTTTTATATATTCTTATGTGCGATCGTTTCTTTATATTAAATGCTTTATATAGCGTTATATGGATTACATAAAATAACTAGGCGATAAGCATTAAAGATATAGGATTCTATATTTAGAGATACTTGGTTGTAAAATCAGTCAGTCGATAAGTAATTACATAATGCAGTTTAATCTATTATATAAAAATTACATAGGGTTAAAAAATTAAAATTATCGGGAATTCTCTAAAAGATAGGCAATTTTAACAGGTTGTGGGTTTAGATACTATACTGTAAACAACAGAGTAGATAAAAATTTAATCAATTTTATACCAATTGTCAGAACATACGCTCACAATTGCGCACATACAAATATTTGCGACTTTCTCAATCCGTTATGTCATTTTTCAAAACATACACGATGTAATTATTAGCCATGAATAGACATGTGATATAATAGGTAAATCATCTCGAATTCTCGAATAAATAATTCGAATAAGAATAATGGAAAATAAAATGCAAAAAGTTTCTCTGTTTGCGCACAATTGTCGTTGTATTTATTCATTTAGCATTCTCCAATGCTTAACACACTGTCCCTTTTGCATGCATTTCTTCAAGTACGGATGCTATCTTGCGTCAATCCTTTCTTCTCTCGGTTAAAAAGAAATCACAGATAATATTGTATCGCTTGTACAAATATGATCTTATCGAGTAACATAAAAATTTATTCAACTCTTCCACAATATCGTAACTAGTAAAACGTATTTATGTATATTCAATGATTGAATGAAGCGTTGGTGACATGTAATATATGCACGTTGGCGCACATAATATCGGAATGTGCTGTCTGATAACAAACTCCATTGTCCATGGATATATCGGATTCATTACTTTTTCTCGTCTTCATTTTTCAGCTCTAACTTATCAATTTCTTCAATTAGTTTCTCCTCGCTCTTTGTTACCGTGCATTTGTCTTCCGCCGATTTCGTCACTGCTTCTTTTTCTATCTTTTTCTGCTGAGAGGTCTCTTCATCTTCATCAGTTTGTTTGATGGGCGATTTCGTCGGTTCCTCGTTATCGGTACTTTCGCTATAACTTACGTCACTACTCGACTCGCTGTCGCTTTCCACACGTTTTTGCTCTGGATTGCTTTTGCCAGCATAAATCTCACATTCAGACCCTACAATCTTTTTAGCCTTCTCGAATGCCTCCTTCCACACTAAAGCATCTGTCCAGGAAATTAACAAAATAACATGAAAATATTCCTCAATATTATATGTTACCATAACTTTGTATTTTAGGTGCACAGTAGGTCTTTAATGTATCCTGTCAAAACTTACTCTCAGCATTCGCGAAACGTATTGCAAGCAATTCTGGCTTAAGTTGCTCATCTGCATAATCAGCGAGTACACTCCAGACCCATGCCCTATCACTGCCACAATTTGGCTTCAATTCCATCCATGGAGTCACAAAATGATTAGCGCAGATCTTAAGAGTCTTGTCTCTGCGCATAACTACTCTGACTGTGTTTTTCACTTTGTGCCTTAACAATTTAACTTCCCCTGTGCCACGTTCCTTCCATTCAGCTGGGTTACTGGATGTATCATAACGATATAATTTTGCTCTCCTGAAAATTGGTGTTATATATATACTGACACATGATACTTTAAAACAGCATGCTTATAATTTATTCAGCATATGTATGATGTTAACTTACAATTTTAACATCTCTATTTCATCCTCTTCATTGTTAGATACTTCTATCAAGGGTAAGGATATTATGGGTTCAAAGTGTACATCATTTTCAGTGTTCTCTTCATCATTGTCTTGAGGTTCACAATTAGCGCCCTTTACATCAACGTGATCACCATTCAGCTTAAAAAATTAAACAAAAAAGGAAAACATCATTTGACAAAAAAATATCTCCTTAAAGCATTCTAACTTGAAAGTTAAATTGTAAAATAGTATATTTTTATTAAAGCGCAACATAAGAAAAATAAACCATGTTTTCAGGTATATATATACTCAAAATCTAGAATTGAAATAAAAATGAGATTATATTATTAAAAAAGATATGATTTTGATCAGAGCACGTTCTATCATAAAAAAAGATACGTGAACATAACCTATTGATGATGCTGCCTTAATCGATTATTAATTGGACGATTATTTAATTCAGATTAAGCACAAAGGGAAATAAAAGATCTCGGCGAAATATATGTACCACGTTTTCTGGCATCTTCTATCAGCGTTGACAGGAATATTGTATAAAGTAAAACAACCGACGATAATCGGAAAATATTCAACGGTCAGTTTTGTAACGTGTATTGTGTCGTAATTGGCTGCAATTGAACGAATGCTGGTAACTATGGGTCTGTTCTTTTTAGATGCATTAGGTTATATTTTTTGTCGAAATAAAACATATAACCTAGTAAAGGAAAAGGAACAAAATTCCAGTCCAGCAGCTAAAAAGAACAGGTCTTGTAGGTTGAAGCCAGTGGGTCCATCCAACAGCAGGTCTATTTTGTAATAATAGGCCTTCTACAATAAGCTATTAGGGCTGATTGTTCCAATTTTTTAGTACGCTATCTGACAGTTAAATCATGTCTGTTTTCATTTTTTCTTCAAATTGCACAGAGACAGACACAAAATTCCAGTCCAGCAGCTAAAAAGAACAGGTCTTGTAGGTTGAAGCCTGTGGGTCCATCCAACAGCAGGTCTATTTTGTAGTAATAGGCCTTCTACAATAAGCTATTAGAGCCGATTGTTCCAATTTTTTGGTAAGCTATCTGACAGTTAAATCATGTCTGTTTTCATTTTTTCTTCAAATTGCACAGAGACAAACACATGATTTAATAGCATGTTCAATTGGCTCTGGGTTAACCCACTCTGGATTATTCAGCCTACGTTTATTGGTCGAAAAAGTATTTATAAGTTTTATGATTGGCTAGTAGAGACTTATGACGTCATTAATCGCTCTCGGAGCGATTAACCTAGGGCCAGTCGAACACGCTATAATTGTCAGTGCTGAGATTCTATAACTCGTTATTAGAGTTTTCTACGATATATAAAAGTTACGCAACGATAACGAAACTGTCGTTAACTCCAATAACGAGTTACAGAATAGAGCTACAGGTGGCTTACCAAGAGGTTGGAACAATCGGCCCTAAGCATTCAGTAAATTCTTGCATCCGATTGGCATATTCCTTTAGATCTAAAAATATACACCAATGGCTACGTTCAGAAAATACAACGATAGTGAGCGGTCAATGGGTGCGTTCAACGAACTCAACAGTTGCACAACAGTTGAGCAATTCGTCAATAGTTGCGTTCAGCAGAGAAAGGTGCTTTGCAACTGTTGTAAAATTCGTGAATCTGATTGGAGTATGCTCTTAATTTTGGTTAGATCCAAGAGCATATACCAATCAGATTCACGAATTTTACAACAGTTACAAAGCAGTAGAGATGCCCGATTCTTAATCAATTCGATTCTTTCCCCAACAAATTTAGGGAAAAAGGGTTGTTCGTGCTGCTTGCATTTTTCGCTTTTAAAAAGAGATGGAAGAAACAATCGAGTTGGTTGTCTCGTTTTTGCTTTTTTGAAACATTTCAATATACTTCTGTCTAGTTTTTAATACGAAAAATGCGAAGAGTGCAAACAACACGAATAAACTTATTTTTGGGGAAAGAATCGAATCGATTCAGAATCGGGCATCTCTACAAAGCAGCTTTCTCTACTGAACGCAGCCAATGGGTGCGTTCAGCGAACTCAACAGTTGCACAATAGTTGAGCAATTCGTTAATATAATTGATCTAGATTTAGGAATCTAATAGTAAGAACCAATAATCGCTGATTGCTCACTGAGCGCTTTTTCCGCTAAACGCGCCTATTGTAATTAGTCTAGATTTATAGCGTATTTGACTGGCCTTGGGTTAATCGCTCCGAGAGCGATTAATGACGTCATAAGTCTCTACTAGCCAATCATAAAACTTATAAGTACTTGTTCGACCAATAAACGTAGGCTGAATAACCCAGAGTGGGTTAACCCAGAGCCAGTCGAACATGCTATTAGAGATCTAACAGCTTGGTTTACATCGTGCACTTGATACGCGTACTAAATAGTAATTTTCTATTAGATAATGGTTGCGTTCAGCAGAGAAAGCTGCTTTGCAACTGTTGTAAAATTCATGAATTTGATTGGAGTATGCTCTTAATTTTGGTTAAATCCAAGAGCATGTACCAGTTAAATTCACGAATTTTACAACAGTTGCAAAGCAGTTTTCTCTGCTGAACGCAGCCAATCTTAATATCGACAATGTATATCAACGGCGACGCATTCAATCAATACAATACGTTTTGTTGATGAGTA